AGAGGGGTCTTGCCATGTTGCCCAGGCTGGTCTCGAGCTCCTGGCCTCAAGCAGTCTTCCTTCTGGGCCTCTCAAACTGCTGGTATTGCAGGCCTGAGAGTTAATTTTTGTATATCATGTGAGTAGGGGTCTACCGTCATTCTTTTGCATGTGGATAGCCTTTTTTCCCAGCACTGTATGTTAAAAAGGCCATTCTTTCCCCCCGAATTGTCTTGACACCCTTTTTGAAAATCCTTTGGTCAGAAATGCAAGTTTATTTCTGGACTCTCAATTCTAGTCCACTGATCTGTTTGTCCTTGCCACTAACTACCACACCGTCTTGTTTACTGTAGCTTTGTAGTGAGTGCTGAAATCAGGAAGCGTGAGTCCTCTACTTTTTTCATTTTTAAGATCATTTTGGCAATTCTGAGTCCCTTGCATTTCTATGTGAATTTTAGGATCAGCACGTTAATTTCTGAAAAAATGCCAGTTGGTCTTTTGATCAGGGTTTTGAATCTGTAGATCACTTTGGGGAGTGTAACCATCTTAACAATATTAAGTCTTCCAATCTGTGAATACAGAATGTCTTGCCTTTAATCTAGGTTAATCAAAGTCATTTTAATCCCTGTATTTTAGAGGTGAGAGATTGAGAAGGTTCTTCCCATTAATTTTCTGGAAGATAGTATTTTGTAGACCAGAGGAACTCAGTAAATACTGGTGGAATGAATGAATGAACGAAAGAACTACCTTGATAGTATTCCCTTTAAGGGAGATGCTTTTGAGCTGCTGATGGAGTAAAGGTGTTGGAATACTAAGATTGGTGTGTGTGCATGTTCCAGATTTTTCTTACCTTTGCTAATGAGCTGAGGATATAGATCCTGGGTTGATAAAGTCAATAGGTGGCCTTGGATTTGGGGGTGCTAGTTTGTAAGCGAATGTCTGTGGATGCCCTCATTCCCTTTGTCTGGGCAGGGGTTGGACGGAGTGGAAGTTAGACTTTGGTGTTTGAAACTCTGGGTAGCACCCAAATGATATTAGGACAGAAGCTTCATGCCAAAAGGAGAGGGCTTTGGCTGACTCACTTTCCTTTTTATTCCTTTTGTCCCCTTTAGTGTCACCGTTTTCTCTTACTCTGCCATCGCCTGGTTTCCTGGTTAGTTCTTCAGAGTCCCAGTTGGGTGTTCTCATAGAGACCCTCAGATGTCTGTCTTACTGTTGCCATTTTCAGTCGGCTTTATGGGGATCCTGGGTTTCACCGTCGCCCAGCTTAGTCTTGACGAGCTGGCTGGTGACCACTTCTACAGAGGCTGCGAAGCTGCAAGCAGCAAAAGCCTCTCTAGCTTGATTTGACAACCGGTAGAGAGGGCAAGAGCAAGGTCTTCAGAAACAGCAGCTTCTTACACCTCTCCTTTTGAGATGTCCTCTGTCACTTGGTCTGTCATTTTCCAGGATGTTTCAGCTGCCATCAAGGTCCAGGCATCTGTTTTCCATGGACTGGAAAATGCTACTTTTGGATGGGAACATGCTTTGGGAATCGCAGGCCAGGTGGGCTTGTTGCATGGTAACGTACAAGCCTCGTGACTCTGGCTGGGTTGGCCTAACACTGTCCTCAGGGCCAGCAAGGCCAGAGGTGCTCCGTGGTCATTAATACCTGACGTTCCTTTGGACTCTTGGAATTTTTTCAGTTTTTCACCAGAGAAGTTGGTCTGTAGAACCTCCTGCTCAACGGTCACAGTTGGAGCTCTTTGCTTCTGGTTTTAGAGGCGGCCCATGCACTGGCCACTCTGCACTTGCCTCGAGGCCTCAGAAGCTGCTCACGTCACTGCCCGAGTTTCAGGTATTCGAGGAGTGAGTTGGTAACAGGGCACCTGCCCTTTGGAGGGGTAGAATCAGAAAGTGCTGTGGGCTGGGAAGAGAGGGAGAAAACCTGTGTGGGTTTCCACTTCTCTGCACCTCTTGTTGGCATTCTTCATACTAAGGGCATCGTGGCCTTCATACTTAGTATGCCCTTCATACTAAGGGCATACCTGTGAACCCCTTCTGGGGGCATCTGGCCATCCCGGTGGATCTGTGAGCCTCTTGCCCCACTTTGCACACACATCGCTGTGGTTTATAGTGTTCAGAGCACGGCTCCATGACTATAAGTCACTCTACCTCTGACTTTGGCTTCCTCATCTGAAAAATGGGGACATGAAGGCATTTCTCACATGGTGATTGCTGGAAAAATTAGGTAACATCCTATGTAAAATGATGGCCATAGTGCCTGCATATAGTGGGTGCTCAGAAAATACCTACCGTCACCACTGCCAGGGTCCCTGTTTTCGTCAGTTCCTCTTGGTGTTCTTTGTTGCTCTTGGTTAGCTGCTCAGCTTTCAGGCACATGGTCCCTCATGTACCATTTTCAAATCCAAAAAGCAATGAAAACTGATCTTGTTTTACTTCTCACTGGAATAGCCAGACCTGACCTGGACTGGCGTGTGGGGTTGTAGCCGAATTTGCCTGCCAAGGGTGTTGTCTTGGTAGGCTGTTTGAGTGCGAGGGGGCACGCCCAGACCCACCGTGAGGACTGGTGGGCAGAGGCTGCGGAACCCTTCGCTGGTTGATGGGAGAGCAATTCATGTCGGGTGGCCCCTTTCCCAAGCTCTGGTTGGTAGCCAGCCCTTCAGCCGGGGGCCTGCCCTCCCTTGTCCCTCGCTTGTGACAGTCCCTGCTGCAATAGAGGGAAGGATGAGTGTGACAGTACCCCCAGCTGGGGGGGAGGGGTCCTCCCTTTACTCTCTGGGGCAGGCTGAGCGGAGTAGAGACCCGGCATGGTGCTTCCTGAGGTGGGCACTTGGGTGGGCTGGCGGGGGCCTCGCAGCTTCCTTCACTGCTGCTGGCTGTCGGGAGAGTGAATCTGAGGGAAGGACACTTAGGTGTCAGCACTGAGCGGGTGGTGTGTGAGGTTGGCGGCTGCCTGCAGGGACTGCTGCACTGGCGAGGCTGCATTCGTGGAGGAAGGCGGAGTGTTTTTCTTTCCGTGCAGTTGGGCGTTTCTAGGCAGCCCTGGTGTCCGGGGAGTTGTGTGTGCTGTGGGAGGGGGTCCATGGAAGGAGGACCCTCTTCACTGTTGTGGGGTGTGCAGAGTAACGGCTCTTCTGGGCCTGCAGATTAACAAAAGGATGGGGTTTTGTTTGGGGATTCAAGACGACAAACTAAAATTAAAAGGATGGGGCCAGGCGCGGTGGCTCACGCCTGTAATCCTAACACTCTGGGAGGCCAAGGCGGGAGGATCGCTTGAGCCCAGGAGTTTGAGGGTGCAGTGAGGTATGATGACGCCACGGCACTCTAGTCCAGGCAACACAGTGAGACTCTGTCTCAAAAAAAAAAAAAAAAAAAAAAAAAAACAAGAAAGGATCAGACTGGACTGAAGGTCGTTCAGTGAGGTACAGGGGGCTTTAAGCGTTAGATGCCAGTTGGGTCAGGTGGTTTCAGGGACAGCAACATGTCTCCCTGACAAAGGGACTTACACTTACCATTTCTCAGCAAACTCATGCTCCTCACAAAGGTGCTTTCAGACAAGACAAACTCCCCCATGCTGGTCCTTCCCACTGCAGATCCTTGGCGGACAGGGGACCGCCGTGGATGGTGTCCTCAGCAGCTAGTTTAGTGGCTCCACTGTGGATCCCAGGCCAGCAGGAGGCTCTGGGGCTGGTGACCAGGACATTAGCACCAGAGGGTGGGAGCTGTGGCTTGGCGTTCAGCTCTGCTCCCTATTTGCTGACCCGTCTCTGTTCCCCGTTGAGTCACAGGGAAAGAAGCATTTGGAGCCCGTTTAGGGAAGGTCTGAGAGTCGGAGGACCTGAAGGCTACTGTCCCATTCTCCCGAGGGTGGGTTTGGTTTGTTGAGCACGTTCTGTGTGCCTGGCCGTCTTGTAGTGGAAACACAGTGGTGCCCTCGTCTCAAAGGGAAGACAGTGCAAGCACAGCGATCATGGCTATGAGAGCCGCAGCGGGGCCCACAGTGGGGGCCCTGAACCCAGTGCAGGTGGGCAGGGAGGGCTTCCAGGAGGAAAGTGGTGTGTGAACGGGTCCTGCAGGGTGAGTGGGAGTTAGCCCAGTGGAATGGGAAGGGGGCAGTGTTCCTGGCAAAAGGAACAGAGGCCAACTGTGTGGCCCCATGTGGCCTTTCTTGGGAAGTACAGCCTGGCCAAGAGCAGGAAGAGGCTGGAAAGGTGGGCAGGGACCTGTCCAGTGCGTGGGGCCCCGGAGGGGTCTTGAGCCTAGGCATGCTGCCGTCAGAAGCAGGGTGACCCCTGTAGCAGGTTCCTAGAGCTGCCATAACCGGTGGCTTAAAATAACAGATATTTATTCTCTCTCAAATCTGGAGGCCAGAAGTCTGACATCAAGTTGTGGGTTGGCAGGGCCATGCTCACTCTGCAGGCTCTAGGGGAGGGTCCTTCTTTGCCTCCTCCAGCTTCTGGTGGCTGCCAGCAATCCTCGGCACTCACCGGCTTAGACAGGGCTCCAGTCACATGGCCGTCTTCTCCCTGTGTCTGCACGTGCATTCCCTCTGTGTGTGTCTCTCTGTCCAAATTTTCCCTTTTCATAAGGACATCAGCCCTACTGGATTAGGGCTCACCTGAATGACCTCATTTAACCTAATTACCTCCATAAAGCCCGTCTCCAAATAAGGTCACATTCTGAGGCGCTAGGGTTCAGGACTTCACCCTGTCTTTCTGGGGGACACAGTTCAGCTGTAATGCCCTTCCCGGGGTCTGGCAGCGCCTGCAGCCTCCCGTCTGACCGGTCCTGTCTGTTCTCCTGCAGAACCGGGCTGTGGGTCGGCCCAAGGGGAAGCTGGGCCCGACCTCCGCGGTGAAGTTGGCCGCCAACCGGACAACGGCAGGAGCTCGCCGGCGCCGGACGCGATGCCGCAAGTGCGAGGCCTGCCTGCGGACCGAGTGCGGAGAGTGCCACTTCTGCAAGGACATGAAGAAATTCGGGGGCCCCGGGAGGATGAAGCAAAGCTGCATCATGCGGCAGTGCATCGCGGTGAGTGCGGGCTGTGGAGGCTGAGCTCTCCCCCAGTGCCCCGGGCGGCCTCTCCTCCCTCTGCATGAGGGCTGTTTGTCTGTTTGCTTTTTGGTCTGTCCAGCCCCTCTGCATAAAGAGAAGTTGGAGCTGCAGAAATGCCGGGAGGTCTCCCTGTGGAAAGGAAGGGGGCTCGAGCCAGTGCTGTTTTCACATCCCCTGTTGCTGGACTTGGGGCTGTCCTGCCATGTGCTCAGGCGCCTGCTGCTTCAGTCTGCTGGTCTTAAAACTCCTTCCTTCCCAAGATGAACCAAGTACTTTGAAGTCTCTGCCATTAAAGATGTCAGGGCAGCCTGTCCTGTCTATGACCCCACTGCCAACATTTATGGTCCAGTTCATGATGATTGTAGGCCCTTCCTTCCTTCCTGTCCTGCCTTCAGAGTCAGAGGTCTGGGTGGAAGGTCAGTGCCCCTCCTGAGGGAGCTGCCCCCCAGACAAAAACTAGTGATTTATGGAGCGGAGGAGCTGGGCCCCTGGAGAGCCCAGACAGCGCCTCCAGACCTACTCGCCTTGTCTGTGTGTACCTGGTCTTCGGTGGTGGCCCAGGGCTATTGGCCTTGCCCCAGCCAGCATAGGGTGGCAGATGTGGACTTTGGCAACTTGGCATGGTCCTGGCTTTGCCCTTGAATCCCCCCATACCACCCACATGCTCTGCCTTCCTGGGTGCTGCTCCCCAGGGGCCCAGTGGCCCTCCCTGCAGGAGCTGTCATTCCCCATGGAAAAGCAGGCTTGGCGGGAGGGACAGGATTCCTGGGCCCTGTGAGTGTGTCCACAGGCCCAGCCTGGCACAGGATGAGCCCCCCTCCCCCGTTGCTGCCCCTCCAAGCCCAGATGCACCTTACTCTTGTCTCTCCGCACACACACCGCTTATGTTTTGTATTTTTAATTGTGGTCAGAAAATGCATAACATAAAATTTGCCATCTTAATCATTAAGTGTGCAGTACAGTAGTATTAACCATAGGCGCATCATTGTGTAGCTGGTCTCCAGAACCTTTTCATTTTGCAAAACTGAAACTAGTCTAAACCCATGGGACAACTACTCTCCTTTCCCCTCCCCTAGCCCCTGGCACCCACCATTCCACTTTCAGTTTCCAAGAGTTTGATTATTCTGGGTAACATAGAGGTGGAGTCATGCAATGCTGGTGTTTTTGTGACTAGCTTATTTCCCTTAGCATAATGTCCTCAGGCTTTATCCATGTTGTGGCATGTGACAATTTCCTTCTTCTTTAAGGCTGAATAATACTCCAGTTTATTGAATCAAAACTGACTCAAATGTAAAAAAAAAATTCTGTTGTATGTATACACTCCGTTTTCTTTATCCATTCATCTGTTGAAGGACGTTTAGGTTGCTTCCACCTCTTGTCTATTGTGAATAGTGCTACAGTAAACATGGGTATGGAAATACCTCTTTGAGATCCTGTTTTTTATTATTTTGGATATATAGTTGACCTTCAAACAAAATGGAGTTTAGGGGTGCCAACCCTCCACACAGTCAGAAATCCATGTATAACTTTTAACTCCCTGAAAACTTTACTATTAGCCTACTGTTGACCAGAAGCCTTACTGGTAACATAAACAGTCACCTGACACATACTTTGTGTATGTATTATATTTGCTGTGTTGTTACAATAAGGTAAGCTAGAGAAACAAAAATGATATTAAGAAATTGTAAGGAAGAAAAAATATATTTACTATTTATTAAGTGGAAGTGGATCATTATAAAGGTCTTCATCCTTGTCGTCACGTTGAGCAGGCCAAGGGAGAGGAGGGAGAGGAGGGATTGGTCTCGCTGTCTCAGGGGTGGCAGAGGTGGAGAGGGTGGAGGGGGTGGAAGGAGAGGCAGGTGCACTTGGGGTAAATTTTATTGGAAAAAATCTGAATTTAAGTGGGACTCACACAGTTGAAACCCGTGTTGTTCAAGAGTCAACTGTATACCCAGAAGTGGGGTTGCTGGGTCATATGGTCACTCTATTTTTAATTTTTTGAGGAACCCACATACTGTTTTCCATAGCGGCTGCGCCATTCTACATTCCCACTAGCAGAGCACGAGGGTTCCTCTTTGTCCACATCCTCACCAGCACTTGTTCTCAGGGTTTTGTTTTGTGTACTTGTTTGTCTTTGATAGTAGCCATCCTAATGTGTGTGAGGTGATACCTCATTGTGGTTTTGATTTACATTTCTTTGATGATTAGTGATGTTGAGTATCTTTTCATGTGCTTGTTGGCCATGTGTGTATCTTCTTGGGAGAAATCCATTTTTTAATTGGATTTTTGGGCCCTTTTTTTTACTTGTTGAGTTGTAGAGTTCTTCAGTACATTCTGGATATAAACCCCTTATCAGGGCCGGGCGCGGTGGCTCACGCCTGTAATCCTAGCTCTCTGGGAGGCCGAGGCGGGCAGATTGTTTGAGCTCAGGAGTTCGAAACCAGCCTGAGCAAGAGCGAGACCCTACTAAAGTCTCTACTAAAAATAGAAAGAAATTAATTGGACAACTAAAAACATATAGAAAAAATTAGCCGGGCATGGTGGCGCATGCCTGTAGTCCCAGCTACTCGGGAGGCTGAGGCAGGAGGATCGCTTGAGCCCAGGAGTTTGAGGTTGCTGTGAGCTAGGCTGACGCCACGGCACTCACTCTAGCCCAGGCAAAAAGAGTGAGACTCTGTCTCAAAAAAAAAAAAAAACCCTTATCAGAGAGATGGTTTGCAAGGATTTTCTCCCATCCTGTAGGCTGCCTTTTCATTCTGTTGATTGCTGCAGGGGTTTTTAAATTTCACTGCTTGTGTTTTTAATTGTTACCTGAACCCTAGGACATTTGAATGGATTTCAGGGAATTTGTGAGCCCTCCTGAAATTAAGTAAAGACATTTGTCTCTGTGCACGCATGTTTGTGTGTTTTTCAGAGAGGGTCCATGTGACCCATTGGGTGATGTCAGGATTTAAGAGCACACGTCTGTAGGGACTTTGGGTTTTAAGAACAGTGTCACCTAAAACTTCGTGTGTCAGCAATGAACCCACAACTGTGTTTCCCTCTTTGGCATTATTTTCTCTTCCACCTGCAGCGTCCTGGGCCCAGTTATGGGACTCCTGTCTCAGATGCCACTTTGTCGTTGCAGCTCTGGTGCCTGGCACTGTGCGTGTTGGTTGAAGGAAACCTCACTTGTATGCATCTTCTCTCTCCAGCCTGACGTGGCTGCTTGAGCTGATAGCAAATGCAGGCCCGGCCAGACCCTCGGGGTCCTTCCTACTCTTCTTCCAGCCTTCCTCCTTTGCTGGGCGCTTGCTCCATGATGTACCCACCTGCGACACATGCAGGCCCACCTCTTCCCTTCCAGGCCCTTCTCTCTTGGTGTGTCAGAGTCTCCCTTTTGCCATAAGCAGCCCAACGCTTCCCTTTGCTCCCTGGCTCTGGCCCTCCCCACAGTGGCTCTGGCTCTGCTCCTGGGTCAGTAGGTTCACTTCTGGTGCTGTCTCCCATCCCGCCTCCTGTCGGACCCCGCCTTGTGCCCCACCCTCCACAGATGCTCTTCTTAGCACCATGGGCTATGCCCCCCAACTGGGCACCCCCAGCCGCAGTCTTGCCCGGGGCTGCCCCATTGGGCCGGGCCTGTGCAGGCTCCTCTGTCCTCGTTCACCTTGAGGCCCCTCTCCCTTTCCCACTTCTCTCCTCTCTGCCCTGGCCTCCGAGTGCTTCAGAAATCAGCCTCTGCTGCTTCTGGTAACACTTGAAGACGACTTTTTAATGTTTTCCTTAGATTGCAGCAAGTTAGGTCTTTGTCCTCCCAAATATTTTGTCTTCCCAAATAGCTCAAGGGGGACAACTGTCTTCCTCACTCCTGCACCCCTCAGGACCCGCTTTCAGGCCATAGCAGATGTTCATTAGGTGTTTGTTGAATGAATGAGATTCTTTTTTTTTTTTTTTTTTTTTAGGTTTTGCTCATATATATATATATTTTTTTTATTTCAGCATATTATGGGAGTACAGATGTTTAGGTTATTACGTATATTGCCCTTGCCCCCCCTCCCCCGCTAAGTCCGAGTTTCAAATATGTCCTGAATGAGATTCTTTCACCTTCGGTGCTCTATTTATTTGAATTCAAATGTTTGTGCCATTTGATGAAGTCTTTTACACTTATCAGTGAAATGTATCTCCCAGCTCACTTGAAGCTCCTGTAAAGTTTAATAAAAATTGACTGTGCTTTCTCTATATACTGGTACTGACTCCATCAGTGCTGGGAGGGTGGGACGTGCGCAGGGAGAATAAGGCTGACCTGACCCTGTCCTTGGAGGCGTTACAGTCAAGTATGTCAGTTCTCAAACTTTGTGGTCTCGGGACTCCTTTCTGCTCTTACAAATTGTGAGGACCCCAAGGAGTTTTTATTTATGTGGACTATTTATTAATATTTAGTGTATTAGAAATTAAAACTGAGGAATTTTTTTAAAAATTAAAATTCATTTAAAAAATAACAAGAAACCCATTACATGTTAATAGAAATAATGTTTTAATGAGAAATAAATACATTTTCTAAAACAAAAATAATTAGTAAGAACAGCATTGTTTTATGTTTTTGTAAATCTCTTATGTGTCTGGTTCATTAGAAAAGACCTGGATATTTCATCTGTTGTGATGTTTTGGAGGGAGGGAGTATGTGGGATATTGGCGGGACACAGATACTAGTAGTTGGAAAAGAGAGGAGGGTATTTTCATAGCCTTCTTAGAAAACCCTGGATAGTCTGATACTCAGCCAGAACTCAACAGGGGGCAGTTTCTGAAAGGTTAGTTGCAACGTGGAATCTGAAACAGTATCAATGAACTTTTTATACTGTTGCATTAAAAGTAATTGGTCTGTCTTGCCCTTTGAATAGCTCATTTGCTCACGCATGATGTTGTAACATTGTGCTTTGGCCATTTGGAAAATACTGGCTTCCTGAGTAAGGCAGATTTTCTAAATATTGGCACATGACATTATACACTATTTTTCAAAAAATCACATTTGTTAATACCACCACTGATGTGGTCAGAAAAGTCTTTCAGTATTGGGAAGCCATCCAGTTTCTGGTGGCTTGTTGAGTTTTCCAAAAGTCTAATTTTTATTCAGAAACTCAAAATTTTTAGCTGCTGTTGACTCAGAGTTAAGCACATACACACACAATTAAAATAATTTTTTAAAATAGTGAAAAAAACCTTGAATTTTGTCATTTGCAACAAATGTCATCAGTTATTTTTCTAGAAATGACAGGCATGCTTCTTCACGAAAATATGCCAGTACCCACAGGGCTTTTATCAGTCATTGTTTCGAGTAAAACGCTCTGTGTAGAACGTGGCTAGTTCAGCTCGCAGCTTAGTCACGAGTGCCTTTCCTTCTGTAACCATCGTCCTTCAGTGGGCAGAAGTGCTTGGTGCGTATTTCCTATTTTGTCACACACATTGTGAAAAGGGTATGTACTCAAGGGTCTGGGTTTTCATAAAGTTAATAATTTCTGCTGCTTCATTAAAGACATTCTTAAATGAAAGTGACCATGAGTCAGCCCCTGACTGCGGGTACACCTGGGGGCCCTGCCTTGACAAGTGCTGAGGGGCCAGCAGTTTCACTCACCAGTGCGAATAGCAAGACCACGCGAAAGGCAAATGTCTTACGCTATTCTGAAGATAGTTTTGACCTCATAGATCTCTCGGTAAAGGTCTGGGGACCCCAGAGTCTGTGGGCTGTGCTTTGACCCACTGGTGAGGTGCAGCCTCAGCCCCACGTGGATCTCGGCTGGGCACACACCCAGCTCCTGCAGGTCTTTTCCGAATGCGAGGGCTTTCCTGACCTCCACGTTTAACTGATCTCCCCTTCCAGCCCTCCCCTGGCCCTGGCCCTCATCTCCATCTAGTGCGCTCTGTTCTTCATTTCGTCTGCCTCCCTCTGCTAAACTGTAAGCTCAGGGTGGCGCAGAGACTTCAAGCTGTCTTGTTCATTGCTGTATTCCCAGCACTTAGCATAGCATCTGGTACATCGAGGTAGTAGCCTGGTAAGTATTTGAATGAATGAGTGACTGAATGTGCCTGGGCCAGTTTTCCAACATCTCCTGACAGGCCCCCCGGTCTGTCCTTCCCACCCTGGCTGACCTGTCTGTGCTCTCCCGGCTCCAGCCAGTGCTGCCCCACACCGCTGTGTGCCTCGTGTGTGGCGAGGCGGGGAAGGAAGACACAGTGGAAGAGGAAGAAGGCAAGTTTAACCTCATGCTCATGGAGTGCTCCATCTGCAATGAAATCATCCACCCTGGATGCCTTAAGGTGAGCAGCCCCTGGGGGCCCTGGCTGTGCTGCTTGACACCCCACCCCAGGGCCTCCGGAGGTGCTGATGCCGAGGGGTGGGGTAAGGCTCCCTCCCTGGATACTGCTGCTGAGGCGGTGGGACCCAAGTGGCATGGTAACTTCCTGGGGAACCTAAGTCTGGGTGCTCCTGTGTGTTGAGTCATGAGCCCAGGACAGGAAGGGTCTGGAGCAGCTCAGACGCCCAGTGTCTTTGAGAGAAGGAACATATGCCACCCCTACGCCCAGGATGTCAGAACCATGGAGGGTTCCCAGAGTCTCAGCAGACAGAAAACATGGGCTGCTTGTTTGCACTTGGGCCAGAGGGAGAGACTCCAGGTGGCTGGGCTGCTGGCTGGAGTCCTGGCTCTGGGCTTCTGGGAGAACAGGGCCTAGGCTGGGGAGGGCAGGGCCTGAGACAACAGGTGGTTGCATTCCTGTTCCTTTGCGCCGGGAACCTGTTCCCTTGGTGTGCCCAGGACAGGACTACCTTCTCCTGGGTGACGGCTGTGCTGTGCCCGCCTGTGCTGTGCCCATCGGCCCCGGTGTCAGAGCCTGCATGTCTGTGTGTGTTTTACAGAGATCTGGGGGGGCCTGCCCAGAATGATATTTCAGCTGTGAGGCGACCACTTTCCCTCAGCAGTGGTCGTGGGAGTTCGTTTTGACCCTCACTCCCCCATCACACTCGCACGCAAACACACCACTCTGGAGAGGCTGCTGTCATTGCCTTGGCTTGGAAGTCAGCCCTTCCCTCTCGTTTCAATTGCTTGGTTATTTCTCTCTCTTTCCAAGTTCATGTGCTCTGTGTGGGTGGGTACAGCCATGTCTGACTGACTCATTCACACCTAGCACCCAGTAGAGTACTCTGGAAGGTCCTTTCTGTGTGCCAGGCTCTGAGCTCATAGCTTTACCTGGGTCATCTCATTGAAGTTTTGCAAACCACCAGTGAGATGGATGCATTGACTCCGTTTTATGGACAAGGACACTGGCCTGCAGAGGCTGTCACTGAGAGCCAGAGGTTCAGCCTTTGAACCCTGGCCCGACTCCAGAGCCACCTGTCTCCACCAGCTCTTTATTCTTTAGGCTGGAGACGGGATGGACATGACATCAGGAAGGGGGGTGTTGATGTTTCTGGCAGACGCCTCCAGAGACCTCTGCCCGGGAGGCCCCTTCCCTCTGCCCTTCCCTGCTTGCTGAGTCCCGGTGTGTCCCTCACAGATTAAGGAGTCAGAGGGTGTGGTCAACGACGAGCTTCCAAACTGCTGGGAGTGTCCGAAGTGTAACCACGCAGGCAAGACCGGGAAAGTGAGTGCTGGGCTCCAAGTCCCAGGGTCAGCCGGGAGTGGGGCGGGCCTGGGCCTTGCCAGGACCAGCCTCTCCCTGAGTGTTAGGCAGGTGGGGTGCTGTGGGCCTGGGGGCGGGCAGGGCACGGCCAAAGATATACAGTTGGTTTGTTCCTTCTCTCTTTTTGGCCTACAAGCAAAAGCGTGGCCCTGGCTTTAAGTACGCCTCAAATCTGCCCGGCTCCCTGCTCAAGGAGCAGAAGATGAACCGGGACATCAAGGACGGGCAGGAGCCTGCCAAGCGGAGGGGTGAGTGTGAGGAGGCTCCCCGGCGCAGGTCGGATGAGCACCCCAAGAAGGTGCCCCCGGACGGCATCCTGCGCAGAAAGTCTGACGACGTGCACCTGAGGAGGAAGCGGAAATATGAGAAGCCCCAAGAGCTGAGTGGCCGGAAGCGAGTACGGACCGGGAGGGGCTGGGTGGCGGAGCGGGTGGCCTGGCTGGTCCTGGGGGCGGGCGGGGGCAGGGGGCGGGGATGGGCCATAGCAGACCTTGCTGCCTGGAGCAGGTCACCTAAGTCCTGAGAGCCCGGCCCAAAGAAAGGAGGGGAAAACCAGCAAGTCACTCCTCTTCCACCCCCTTTAGGCCTCGACGCTTCAAACGTCCCCCGGTTCCTCCTCTCACCTCTCGCCGAGGCCCCCTCTGGGCAGCAGCCTCAGCCCTTGGTGGAGATCCAGTCTCACTCACTTCCAGCAGCAGGTGCTCCCACGTCGCCCCCACCCCAACCCATGCCCTGGGGACTTCCGAGTCCTCGGCTGTCCCCCACCCTGCCCCACTGGTCCTCCAACTGCTGCTAACTCTCCCAAGGCGCCTCTTCCCGTCGCTTCCCAGGCCTTGGCCCAGAGCTGTGGTTCGTGGTTCTGGCACGGAGCCGGGGAAGCTCTGTGACAAGGGCGTTGGCGGGCTGGGATCTTGGGGTGGAAGCCGCTGGGAAGCTCTGTGAGTCCAGGGAACGTCGGAGGATCCTGGTGGGCCTGCTCCGCCCACTGGCCTTGCCCTCATCAGCCACAGGGTGGCGCCTGGAGTCTCTTCTCCCAGCTCCAGCCCTTCCAGCTTGTCTGGGAATAGCCACAGGCCTGTGCTCCAGAACCGGCTCCCAGAGCCAGGGCTGATTTGAATGAGTGGCTGCTTTTCTCTGGTCTGTCCGGGGTGGGAGGTCAGTTGGATGGGAACAATTTGACCATAGTCCGCTACTTCCTTCCAGCTTCTTTCTTGAAAGCAGCAGGCAGGGCCCACCTGTCTGTCAGTCAGGCGTGAAGGAGGTGGCATTTGTGGGGAAGGCGTCCCTCTAGCCCCTACCCTAGAGACTGTGGGCTCATGGTGGGGGAGAGGGGACCAAATTCCATAAGCCCCGGGAGCAAGCTCCATATCCTTTCTTTCCTGTGACAGCTAAAACCTGGCAAAGAAGATAAGCTTTTCAGGAAAAAGGTACTGCCTTCCCCTCCCTCCCTATACCCCAGGCCAGAGTGGCCAGAGCTGCCTGGGCCTCAGTCCCACAGTAGAGGGGCGGGAGGTCTTGGGTGGGCGCAGCCCTGAGCCCTAGCAGCTGACCTGCTCTCCCTCCTCCCTCGCACACTCAGCGGCGCTCCTGGAAGAACGCGGAGGACCGGATGGCACTGGCCAACAAGCCCCTCCGGCGCTTCAAGCAGGAACCAGAGGACGATCTGCCTGAGGCGCCCCCCAAGGCCAGGGAGAGCGACCACTCACGCTCCAGCTCACCCACGGCCGGGCCCAGCACCGAGGGGGCCGAGGGGCCGGAGGAGAAGAAGAAGGTGAAGATGCGCCGGAAACGGCGGCTTCCCAACAAGGAGCTGAGCAAGGAGCTGAGCAAGGAGCTCAACCACGAGATCCAGAAGACGGAGAGCAGCCTGGCCAACGAGAACCACCAGCCCATCAAGTCGGAGCCCGAGAGCGAGAACGAGGAGCCCAAGCGGCCCCTGGGCCTCTGCGAGCGCCCCCACCGCTTCAGCAAGGGGCTCAACGGCACCCCCCGGGAGCTGCGGCACCAGCTGGGGCCTGGCCTGCGCAGCCCACCCCGTGTCATCTCCCGGCCCCCGCCCTCCGTGTCCCCGCCCAAGTGCATCCAGATGGAGCGCCATGTGATCCGGCCACCCCCCATCAGCCCCCCGCCCGACTCGCTGCCCCTGGATGATGGGGCAGCCCACGTCATGCACAGGGAGGTGTGGATGGCCGTCTTCAGCTACCTCAGCCACCAAGACCTGTGTGTCTGCATGCGGGTCTGCAGGACCTGGAACCGCTGGTGAGGGGCAGCCCTGTGTCAGGCACTAGGTTAAGGCTCAGGCTGCACTGGGATGGCCTGTGCAGGGCACGTCCCCACTGGAATCACTCGTGATACTCTTTCCTTCTAAGCCCCAGTGCTGCTTAATCGTGCTCTGTAGAGAGTTCCTGGTGGCTATTGCGGTCCCACCTCAGTCTGGTCTTGTCAGAGGAGGAGACCCTGTTTCGCTTCCTGATTTAGCTCCCTGGAAGGTGAATTAAGGACCAAATGAGTCTTCGTCTGCAGGGAGTTAGCCTAGGTGAAGAGCACGGTGCCTGTTACTGACTTTAATCCCAGCTTGATATTTATGAGCCTTTTGGCCTTGGCTGTTTTGACCCTCGTGCGTGCACAGGCGTGAGGCCGGCCTCTCGGGGCTGTATGGAGGTGCAGCCCACGGAGGCCATAATAAAGCCCATGGTAAAGACTTGATGGAGAGCAGGTGCCCACGTGTGGGCAGGGCGAGTGCCAAACAGAGGGGTCCAGAGGGCTGAATTAGGAAGCCTCCTCAGAAGTTGGTAGGTTGGGGGAGTTACCACAGCTGTGCAGGGGCTCCCAAAGTGAGCCCCCTCCTCTGATGATGTCCCCCTGCCGGGCCCATCCCCCAGGTGCTGCGATAAGCGGTTGTGGACCCGCATTGACTTGAACCACTGCAAGTCCATCACGCCCCTGATGCTGAGCGGCATCATCCGGCGGCAGCCCGTCTCCCTCGACCTCAGCTGGACCAACATCTCCAAGAAGCAGCTGAGCTGGCTCATCAACCGCTTGCCTGGTCAGCCCTGGGCCAGGGACCCGCAGTGTACAGTGGTGGTGGTTGGGGGGGCCCATAGCCTGACCATCCCCTTTTCTCTGTCCCCCAGGGCTCCGAGACTTGGTGCTGTCGGGCTGCTCATGGATTGCGGTCTCGGCCCTCTGTAGCTCCAGTTGTCCTTTGCTCCGAACCCTGGATGTCCAGTGGGTGGAAGGACTAAAGGATGCCCAGATGCGGGATCTCCTGTCCCCACCCACGGATAACAGGCCAGGTGTGTTTCCAGGCTGGAGCTGTGCCCAAAGGGGTAATGTGGGGTAGGGTGATGGAGCCACGCTGTTGGATCTGGATTTGACCACAGACCCCAGCTGGTGCGTCTGTCCTCCAGCCTTCTAAGGGCTCATCCCCTCCCTGGAAGACACAGGGATGAGTCCCTGCTGCTCTGTGCTCAGCTTCAGGCACAGAAGGGATCCAGGATGAGGCAGAGGCTCTTTTGCACATGGAAACTCTACTCCTGGGGGCTCTGCATGCATTTGGCTGCTTCTCTGCTAACTTGTCCTTTATTGGCTTCAAGCCTCGGACTGCTGGAGTCGGGGTCACTGTCGTTGGACAAGGTCCCAGGGTGGACCCAGCGGCTACCTGGGTCCATGCTCCTCACCGGTAGTTAAATGAGCAGGCCGTAGAGACCTGCTGGTTGGCCTGTTACTGCTGGGTAGAATGTGGCTCAGTGTTTCCAGACTTTATGCTTTTTCAAGAGAATATAGAAATCTAAACTCTGATGTGGAATCTTCTAATTTTTAAATGTTGCAGTTCTGATACTGGGGAGGAACACTGTGGCTAAATGCAATCCGGGTGTCACATCTGGCTGGTAGGCCTTTTAGAGTGTCATTTCAGCATGACCAGATCACCTATGTCAGATCGACGGGTTACCCTCTCCTTGCTGCCCCACCAGGTCAGATGGACAATCGGAGTAAGCTCCGGAACATTGTAGAGCTGCGCCTGGCGGGCCTGGACATCACAGACGCCTCCCTGCGGCTCATCATCCGCCACATGCCCCTGCTGTCCAAGCTCCACCTGAGTTACTGTAACCACGTCACCGACCAGTCCATCAACCTGCTCACTGCTGTTGGCACCACCACCCGAGACTCCTTAACTGAGATCAACCTGTCAGGTGAGTCGGAAGCCCCCGTCAGGTCTGCCCGGCACCCTGTGGGAAGGTTCAGGAGTTTCACATTTGTTGAAACTGTTCGTGTGCCCACACTTACGTGGTTACAATGCTAAGTGCTAGGACATGCCAACAAGTGAGACAGGCAGCCCAGTCTAGAGGGGAAACACACACTAAATGAAGAAGTTACTATTGGATTTATAATGATTGCTACCAAAAAATAGTGCTAATAGCAGGAGCACATAACAGTGGTTCTTGACCCAAAACACGGGCTAGCAACAGCTTCCCAAGGGAATGCCACTGAGCTAGTGCCTGATAGCCACGGTACGGGGACAGCAGAGGGCCGGGAGGCGAGGGGCCCCCGTGAGCAGGGCTGCGCCCCGTAATGAACGAGCAGGCGGAAGCTTGTTTTCTGTCTCTGCTGTCATTTGTTATGTGTGCCCCTTGTGACCCTGCTATCAAGGGGCCTGTTGTCGGAGAGAAAAAGAAAACCCTACGTTTAGTTCCATTATTGTTCTGTGTCACACGCTGCAGAAGCCGCACTTGCCTGCTCGCTGAGTGGCGGGAGTTGGTTCTGAAGGACTTGGGGCTCCACTGTCCAGTGAGGCTGACACAGGCAGCGCTGCCTGTTCTTAGCTGACCCAGTTTTGGATGGGAAGCTTAGGATGGTCCAGACTGGGCATGTCAGGTTTGCATGAGACCCAAAAAATAGAAGAACAGAGAAAGAAATTTTGGGGTTTTTCCCCCTAGAAATTACCAAGTACGAAAGGACACCCTCATCTCATTCGTTTTACATTTTAACACAGTGCTGTCATGAGGTTTTGCCGCATCCAGATTCACGTGCTCTTTAGGTGTTTGCCTCTCTGTGCGTCCCACATTCAGCCTAATAAACGGTCTGTCAGCCATGCCACATACCAGGTGGAGGGGAGGTTTGAATGGATGGACCTAGGTCCCTAGGAAGCCGTTTCTCCTCTTCGTGAAGTTTTGGTGCTAGGATTGTCTCACCCTATGGAGGAAAAGAAGAGAGCCATAGTGTAGTGAGGCTTCACCACAGTGACACTAGCGTAAGGCTCAATACCTGAGCTGAAACTGGCAGTGGAGCCACCCTTGCAAGAACGGCCCAAGAGGCATCTTGTTTTAAGCTCTCGATATTATGTGAACTCTTTTTGTTACATTCTAGTTTAGTTATCATGGACGCGTAGCAGAGATCTCAGTATAGACCCCTCTCCTGCAGTGAAGTCCTGTGTCTGCGTGTATGCGTGTGTGTGTGCGCGCGCGCGTGTGAGCAAGATTTCATCTTTTGCGTTTTGTTTTCCACGATAGATTGAGGTCATCCTTTTGTCTCAGTGCATACAGCTCTCTGTGTTCTTGCTAATAGCTGTTAAGTATATTCAGGCACGTCTCTATACCTGATCTTTTCTAGATTTTAAAAAAATTTTCCGCCTCCCATCAGTGTAACTAGTTGAGTTAATGATACAGTAAGTCTATGCCACAAAATAGATGACAGGTGACATGCTTCAGAATCCCTAAACTTGTTTGGAGGATCTTGTCTCATGACAAGTGAAGTTGCAGTTCTAGCAGCTATTGTTATTCAGGCTGAGTCATCATAGATGTATTATTGGGTGCTCAGGGTGGCCCCCTGCCCCACCCCACACCACCTGAGGCAGCACCTTAAACTCTCAGCTCTTTCTTCCAGTGTTTACCGCCACATTCTGAACTAGTAAACCTGTGCTGCAGTTTCCTATGCATCAGCTTGCTGCCCTGCAACACAGGCATTTACTATTGTTGCATCCTTTCCCCTTTCTTTTTTTCTCCCTCCATCTTTCTCCTTTTTGGTTAAGTCACTATTACCTTATTCTGACCATGTAATTATTGGTCACAGTTGAGCCATATAGTGTATTATGACGTTTCCTCTTTTGTTAAGAGTTTTTGTTTTCCTAGAGTTAATTTTTTGTTTGCTTAGTTTCTAAGTATACTATACAACAGAACTGCATACTCTCCCCTCCCCCCCCAAACTCATCAGTCCCCTGACCACTTTTTGTTGCCCTGGACTTCTCCTCCTCCTCTTGTTTTCTCCTTCCTGACTCCTTCTCCCATCTGGACTGGCCGCCTCTGCCTGCTGTGCCACCACCACCCCCCCGGGGCTTTTCTCCCATCGCCATCCTGGAATTCCCTTAGTCTCTGTCTTCTTGTGGGCGCGCTCCTCTGATCTCATGTTTCTTGGTTTACTCTTACATTTGATGGAAGATATCTTCTGGACCTTGTATGTCTGTGAAAATGTTTTTATTATACCCCTACATTTAGTTGATATTTCAGCTGGGTACAGAAAGCTAGTTTGGGAACCACGTTGCTTCAGAAAGTGAGAGGTACTGCTCCACTGTCTTCTGCCTTCCAGAGGTGAAGTCCAGAACCATTTGATTGTTCATCTGTTAGTGAATCCTTTCCCTGTTCCCTTTCCTGGCTAGAGTGCAGTGGCGGTGATCATAGCTCACTGTAACCTTGAACTCCTGGGCTCAAGCAATCCTCCTCCTGCCTCAGCCTCAAGAGTAGCGGGGACTACAGGCGTGCACCACCACACCCGGCTAATTCCCTTCTATTTTCCAGGTCTATGTCTTTTTGCTCTCATTTCTGGGAGTTTCACACCCCCCCTTTATCCTATAATTCATAGTGTGAGTTTTTCATTTTTGATGTTATGCAGGTTGAACCATATAAAATTCCTGTTTTGTTTTAAGAGACAGAGTCTTGCTCTGTTGCCCAGATTGGAGCGCACTGGTGCAATCACAAGTCACTAGAGCCTCCAATTCCAGGGCTCAGGTAGTCCTGCCTCAGCTTCCTGGGTAGCTGGCACTATAGGCATGTACCACCAGGCTTGGCTAATTTTTAAATTTTTTATAGAGTCAGAGTCTTGCTATGTTGCCCAGGCTGGTCTTGAACTCCTAGGCTCAAGCAATCTTCTGCCTCAGCCTCCCCAGTAGCTGGGACCACAGGGGGCCAGAACTAGTTTATCGCTCCACGTAGAAACTCTCCATCCATTAACAATACTAATTTCCCCTTGCCCCCCTGCCGGAGCCTGGCAACCACTGTTCCACTTTCAGTTTCTGAGAGTTTGAATACTTTAGATAACCTCATATAAGTGGAATACAGTCTTTGTGACTGGCTTATTTCGCTTAGCCTAATATCTTCAAGGTTTATTCATGCATGTTGGGGCCTATGTTAGAATTTCCTTTCTTTTTAAGGCTGAATAAATACTCTGTTGCATGTATATACCACATTGGTTTATCGATTTATCTGTCAATGGGCACTGAAGTTCTTTTTACCTTTTGGCTATTGTGAATAATACTGCTGTGAACAAATACCTTGTTTAAGTCCTACTTTCAATTCTTTTGGGTATATAACCAGAAGTAGAATTGCGGATCATAAGGTATTTCTATGTTTAATTTTGAAGGAATTGCCATATTGTTTTCCATAGCAACGGTACCATTTTACTCTCCCATCGGCAGTGCACAGGGGTTCCAGTTCCTCCACATGCTCACCAACACTTGTTATTTTGTTTTCCCTAATAGCTATCCTAATGGGCATGAACTGAGATCTTATTGTGGTTTTTTGTTTTTTTTTTTTTGAGACAGAGTCTCACTGTGTTGCCCAGGCTAGAGTGCCGTGGCATCATCCTAGCTCACAGCAACCTCAGACTCCTGGGCTCA